AACAAAATAACCTACCATTCCCCTAGGGAGGCATATGTCCATACTTATGTTAGTCTTACATGCTGACCTTGGAAACCGATCCTCACATAAGGCGTGATTCCAGGGTGTTTCAATTTGACATCAGTATAAATTCATTTGTTGTTCTTTGAAGATTAACCAGTCACCTGGTAGGTAGCATTACCAAAGCACTGTTGCATATTAAGCTCCTCATTTTTGTTTCATATTTGTGAAATTTACCTTTTCTACCTATTTAACTTAAAAGGATACTCTTCATTTCTAGTGCTAATAGAGAATTATGGACGCATACTATTGAAAATCTCCTCCTGTGGGTATAAAGACACGGTCAGAAAAAGAGTAGAAATTGACATTAAGTGTCTTCTGTGTACTGGGCAATTTATGTACAATATTTTATTATCATGACAGTCCCTGTGAAGTAGATGATATCCTATTTTATAAAGAAATTGAGATTCTAAGAGTTAATTTCCTCTTTTCCTTAACTAGTAAATGGTAAAAGCCTGTATTTGAACCAAGAACAAGTCTGCTTTTGTCATTTCTTTGTCTATTCCTGTCCTATCTCAGGCTTATCAATACAACATTCACAAAGCTCATAGTTTTAAGAATAACTGCAAGTCGCCCTGCCCGGTGTGGCTCAGTTGGGTGGGCATCGTCCTGCCTGTTCTATTCCCAGTCAGGGCACATGCCTGGTTGCTGACTCAATCCCCAGTAGGGCATGTGCAGGAGGCAGTCTCTCATCAATGTTTCTCTCTTCCTCTCCCTCTTCTTTCTTCTGTCTCTAAAGTCAATAAAAACATATTTAAAAAAATAACTGCAAGTTATTAGTTGAATAGCTATTCAATTATCGGTTTGTTAGATTGGCATAATAATTTAATTATAATAGAAAGCTAAACATCTATATTTGAAGATGTGTGAAGACATGGATCAGCCAATTTTGAATTTCAAAATACTAAATTCACAAAAGGTATTATCAATAAAAAATAATCAACACTAAAAGGGATTTACAAAATTTAAAGATACAAGTCTTGTTCTCAGAAAATTTATATGCATATGCATTGCTGAATCAAATTTAAAGCTGGAGAATATGAATACAAGAGCCACAAGTTAAAAATGTAGATGTTTAATTGGAAGGCTTTTGTGATTGTATAGCTTATATTGCAATTGTAAGATTAATGAAATGCTACTTGTTTTATTCTTTTCTTTCTGAATTTATAGGGATTGGAAGTGTTTTGCACAGAAGATGACCTGTGTTCTGACATCTACCTAAAGTTCTACGACCCTCAAGATAGAGATGAACTCTATTTTTATATTGCCACATATCTAGGTCTGGTGTTCACCCTTCATTGTTCTATTCGTACGAAGGTAGTTCAACTCCTAAGTAACCAGGATAGGAAATAAGAGAAGGAAAAAGAAAAATGCTGGATCTAGAATCGCCTCTCTGTGGTTCTACCCATTGCTTCTTCATAGTAACTACAGTTGGCAAGATGGCATTTTAAAAAACTAAGGGAAACATAACTGAATTTTGGTAATAGTTCATTGTGCATTTTAAAAACTTGATAAAAATATTTAAATTTTTTTGGATTTTAACAACACACAAATTGAGTGGATTATAAAGACTCCACTTAATTATTTCTATGTCCAGTCATGTCTTATATTAGTTTATGAAAACCACGATTCAGTTCCTTAATGTGAGAGGCAGTGAACTCTCTAGTCATATGTTTGTGTTCATTAATTGTGGCCTTAATCCCGAACCTAGAAAACAACACAAAAGAAACACGTGAACCCCGAGGCTCAATATAGTACCCGTGGGACTGAATTTGCTTTTAATTAATATTTCCTCAGTCTTGCATGGAAAGCGTACATTTTCCCACCCTTGTTAGAGGGAACACCTGTATTTTTCTTTTCACGCGTAAATATATTAATTTGTATGGCTGACTGTAACTATTCTTGTTTACAAAGTTGCTAGATGACTAGAATAGAATGATTTCTAAAACTAGATGTTGGGATTTTATTAATACCATCGTAATTTCGTTTGCTCTTCTGGTGTACAGTGAAGCCATTTCTGAGATCTATAGCGAAAACAAACTGTACCCTACTTTTACTTTTCTTCAAATGCATTTTTCAAAAAATGCATTGAAAAGACTACACTTGAAGTAGCTAGTGTTTACATGCTACGTAAAACTTAGCCAACATCTGCCAAGTTCAGTGGTGACCTTGCGGCCTGTCCTCCTCAGAGCACCACGTCGCGGAGCGCACGGCCGAGAGCTACACGCTGCAGTGGCAGCGCGGGCACCTCTCCAACTACCAGTACCTGCTGCACCTCAACAACCTGGCCGACCGCAGCTGCAACGACCTGTCGCAGTACCCGGTGTTCCCGTGGATCATCAGTGATTATTGCAGCTCAGAATTGGGTAAATGCCTCAAAGCTACTTCATAAAGGAGAGAAAAATATTCTGTTGTAGACTTATGATGTGATTTTTGAATAGATTAGAACCCATTTTAACTTTATTACTAAAGATGGCTAGTTGTCATTTCAATGTTAATATAAATTATATGTGTTTTTTATGTTTTCTCCACTGTTTCTTAATTTTCTTAATCCAAAAAAATAGTACTCACATATTCTTAAAGGACATGCCCAGAAAATATGCATATAATTTTTAATTCTTTATTGTTTAAAGTATTACATATAGTATTACATAGGTCTCCCTTTTCCCCCATTGACCTCTCCCTGGCCACCCCCACCCCATATGCATATAATTTTAAGCCACATTATCAATACTATCTATAAATACCAAGTTTTGAAATACTGTACTTTGAAAATTGTCTCAGATTATCCTATTCTAAAATTTACATTAAAATGTGATTACCAAACTAATAACTATTCATTATATGACATTTAGAATGTACTAAAATATTTTTAAAAGGAAATAAAAATCATCAATTATTACATTACTGAGAGGTAGCCATTTTAATTTTGTGGTATATGTACTTCTCTTAAATTATTTTAACAAAAATAGTGATTGTATTGTGATTTTATTTTTTAATATTTAAAAATTATATGTTGTGAACAATAAATTCCTTTGGACAGTTCACTCATTGAACTCTGTACTTGAAAGAGATAACAGATTTTCTAGGAATATGATAATTTATTTCTCTGATAATATTCAGGTCCCCAGTTCTCAAATTATGCTTATAATTCAAACTTACAAAATAAATCTTAGTAGAAGAATAATGGGCTTTTAAACTTTGTTTTTATTTTTTGTTTTACTTGGAATATAGCTTTTGTTTCAGTAGGCCTTTTTTAAAAAAAAAATCCATATTTATGATGTTTTCAAATTGGAAATCACTCTTGAGTGGATGTTGCTAAATTAAAACTCCAAAGTTCTCACCTTTACAGCTGTATAAGTAGCTACCAGAAATACTGTAATTCTAATGGATCTGTCTCAGTTTTTTAAAACTGTTTATTTTGTGGAAATAAATGTGTGCATGTGAATCAGTTCATGGAGGAAATGTTATTAAGTATAGGTTTGCTTGCTTTATTTATTCTAATTAATTAATTTTTTAAAATTTATTTACTTATGTAGATTTGTCAAACCCAGGAACCTTCCGGGATCTTGGGAAACCAGTAGGGGCCCTAAATAAGGAGCGACTGGAGAGACTACTGGTGCGTGGATTTAAGGATTCTTGGTCTATAAGGAACTTCCGGAACCATGGCCTATATTCTTATAGTAACTGAAACTCATTTCATCAAGGCTTAGGGCAAACATTGTCCAGAGGGATCATGTTTTGTTTTGTTTTTTCTTACTCCCGCTGCTCTGCCTGCTGCCTTCCCCAGTGAATATAGCTGCTCACCATTTGCATTTTTTTGCCTACAATTCAGGAAGTAGGAGGCTGACCTGATTACCAGTGTACTAACTTACTTTCATGGAGGGTTCTCTCTGGTAAATTGCACAAGAGACGCATAAAATCCCTTCCATCTTCCATTCAATCCAGTCCCAACTTTGTTACCACTGCGCCAAGAAAACCAAAAGACTTGTCACAGGAATGCTGTATTTATTCAGATTTTCCACCCTCTTTTTATCTTTCCTTTTCCTATTTTAAGAAAGAAATTAAGGAGTTTAATGTACTCATGCCGTGATTTCTTTTAGGCTTTTACTACATGAGTCACTTGTTATTTTCATAGCCAACACTTAGTAGTCTTTTTTTCTCACATATTATAGGAACGCTACCAGGAGATGCCAGAGCCAAAGTTCATGTATGGCAGTCACTACTCTTCCCCAGGTTACGTGCTGTTTTATCTTGTCAGGATTGGTAAGGTTCTTTATCATTACCCCAAGTCAATGTTATTTCACGTGGACTCTTCAGTGAATCTGTATCTCATTACCTCCGATTTCCCCCCTCCAGCACCAGAGTATATGCTGTGCCTACAGAATGGAAGATTTGATAATGCAGATAGAATGTTCAACAGGTTTGACATAAATGCCCACCTACCATTTTTTAAACTTCCTAATTATATATGCACAATATGTTTGTTTTTAAAAACTAGTATATAGGGCCAAAAATGTAAAGATATGCAAAAAATCACTAATTGTTATATCTATTCCTTTCAGGCTTTTTCTAGTTGTATGTGTGTGTGTAAATGTGAGAACATATTTTAAATACACTTTTTGTCCCACTTTTTGTATCCATATTAGATCTTGAAGTTATCCCCATGTTATTAGAAGTTTTTTAAAATGTCTCATTTTTTAAAATATTATATCACATCCTAATGTATGCCAGAATATATTTTAACTGTTTATTGTTGGACATTTAGAGTGTTTCCAACATTATTTCATTATTCTAAATAATTTTTTAAAATATATTTTTATTGATTTCAGAGAGGAAGGGGGAGAGAGAGATAGAAACATCAGTGATGAGAGACAATCATTGATCAGCTGCCTCCCGTACACCCCACCCTGGCGATCAAGCCCACAACCTGGGCATGTGCCCTGACCGGGAATCGAATCGTGCTTGGTTCATAGGTTGATAATTTTGCTATGAGTTGAATACAGTTCCCTGTGGGCAGGTCGATAATTTTGCTATGAGTTGAATACAGTTCCCTGTGGGTCTGTAAATAACTTTTTTTAAATTATAAAAGTAATACTTCTTTACAAAAGAAAATCAGAAAATATAAAGAGGAAAATAAAGTTCAGTTGGCATCTGTCCACACTGAGAGAATTTTCATTATTTGTCTTTGGTCTGTGTCTTTCCAACCTTTGTTTAAGCTCTACACTTGTTTGTTTATCATTCCTTTTTGAGATGAGCTGTTAACATACTTGTGCTGATTTTCTAGTGTTTAAGCACCTGCCTCCATTGGTCCTTCAGTGAGGCAATATGGGTGCAGAGGCTCCTGGCATGGCCTTCGAGACATTCCATCTGGGCCTCGTTCTGACTCCCTGCTCACTCCCGTGTCTCCCATGTGAGCCTGGGAATTTTTCTCTTCTGTGAAAGGGGGATTGCGTTAATGAGACATTCCATCTGGGCCTCGTTCTGACTCCTTGCTCACTCCCGTGTCTCCCATGTGAGCCTGGGGAATTTTTCTCTTCTGTGAAAGGGGGATTGCGTTAACAAGAGAATGAGTTAATATAGGTAAAGTGTAGAACAACACCTAGGTGCAGAGAAAGCTCTGTGGTTGCTGTTTCTATACCCCTGAGTTAAAATCAGTTTAATTTTTTTTTTTAATATTTAGTATTGCAGAAACTTGGAAAAATTGTTTGGATGGTGCCACAGATTTTAAAGAGGTAAGCGGTTTAAAAAGTTAATGATTCATGGGGCTGGTGTTTTCTAACTGCTTTAAAAAATGTTGTTGCTGTTCTTTTTTTCTTTTTTTTTCACCTGGCACCTTCAGTTGATTCCAGAATTCTATGGTGATGATGTCAGCTTCTTAGTCAATAGTCTGAAGTTGGATTTGGGGAAGAGACAAGGAGGGCAGATGGTGGATGATGTGGAACTTCCGCCTTGGGCACGGAGTGAGTACCTCAGCAGTGTGGCCTTGTAGAAAGTCCTTCCCTGACAGTGCAGTTTCAGTGTGATTAATTACTTAGTTGCCTAGATTTTAAGAAAAATAACAGTCATTCTCTACCTCAATGAGGCAATGTCAGTCCTATTCCAGATAAAAAAATACTCTATGAATCTAGGCTGTAAAAATATTGACATATATTTGAGAGACCTAAATGTTGGGAAAATGATTTTGCCACTTTTTCTCGCCACAAAATTTATATTTTATATGATGGGGGCAAAATGTCATTAAGAAATATGTGCTTCCTGCCTATCCGAGAAGCTTTATGTGCCTGTGGGTAGAGGACAGAAGTGAGAGAAAGGAAGGGGGACGCTGCCGTGTTTTGATGGAGTCTAATCTCCCAGGTCCCGAGGACTTTCTCCAGAAGAGCAAAGAGGCCCTGGAAAGCAATTATGTGTCCGAGCACCTTCACGAGTGGATTGACCTAGTGTTTGGCTACAAGCAAAAAGGAAGCGAGGCTGTTGGGGCCCATAATGGTATGTAATAGTCATTGAAAGTTCATTTAGTGTTTGATGAAAATGAAACAACAAACAAAAAACAAAATGAGGGCAGAGTAGTCAAGCTTATTCTTTCAGCAGAAACTTCTATCAGCAAACAGTGCCTACTGGCTCAGCGACCCTGGGTTAGATACTAAGTGAGAGAGGAGGAAGTCCTTTTGCCTAAAGAACATCTATTTCAGCATGATCCCAAGAGGTCTTGTTCTAAAGTCTTCTAATTTTAGCAAGTACTTGCTATCCATTCAATAATTTCAATTAAAACTCAATCAGAACATGATGGAGCAGCGACTCAGTTGCTATGAAGGGTCACAGAGTTTCCTTTGAATTGAGCTGGAAGAAACCAGCAGTAATATACCTCCTCATCGGTCTTGGTTCTCACCTGCCTCCAGGTTTCTCAGGGTTGATGATGAGGAAGTGGAGCTTGATTTCAGGCCTGGTTTCTCACAGCCAGAGCAGAGGGCCGGGTGACCTGCTTCCCCTCAGGGGAAGATAAGCTGACTGAGAAATACACTGAGGTAACCGGTCCTCTGACCTGCCAGTGAGATTTCTGCTCAGCAAAGGATAATTCAAGTTGATATTTACTGAAAAGTTGGATCTTATTAGTCTTTTTTGCAGAGTGAACATCAGTTACTTTGAATAAAAGTTTAAAGTTGTCACTGGGTTTTAAAATTTTGAACAGTGTGTAACTCAACAGTACACCTCTCAATGGTGTTTTACTTCTCTCCTTCCAGTATTTCATCCCCTGACCTATGAAGGAGGTGTGGACTTGAACAGGTACTTATGTCTATAAGGTGCTTCGACTTGAACAAAATACCTCTTTAACTAAATGGTTGATGCGCTTACTTGATAATGTTAAGATATGGAAAAATTACAGTGAATTGTATCTTGCTTTTACTATTATGTGAGTTACTGAGCCTCAGAAAATTTTTTTAAAATCTGTGCTAAGGTTTAGACAATCCTGACACACAGTGGGTGTTTGAAACTCTCTCTGGTTGATCTGTACCATCTGAAATGTGTGCTTTCAGGAGACGGGAACCTAGGGGCTCACGGCATTATTTGTGTTCTGTCCTAAAGCATCGAGGATCCTGACGAGAAAGTAGCCATGCTGACCCAAATCTTGGAATTTGGGCAGACACCAAAACAGCTCTTTGTGACACCACATCCTCAAAGGATCACCGAAAACTTCAAAAGTTTGCCCCAAACCTCCTGTGATAACGTTTCCATAGCAGATTCTCCAGGTAAATTTTGCAAAGAGAATAAATGTGAGCACCTTTCGTTTTTCTTTAAGATGTTTCTAATGATTCTGAAGAGGAAACACGAATGTTGTGCTGTTTAGAGATAATATTTTTACCATCTTATTGCGGTTCTCCTGAAAAAAACAACAACGAAACAAAACAAAACCCCAACCACCTGTTTTTGTTGGCGTTTTGTTTGTTGTTAACTATTCACTTTAAAGACACGGTACTTTTATTTTCTGGTCATTGAAACCTGGCAGGATTTTTATTGCGATTGTTATGGTTCTGTTTCTTCTCTGTGCCTTTCCAAGCTGGTGTTTGATTCTGAGCTGTTCCCTTTCTATTGATACATCCTGGCCATGGCTGCTTTAACCGTCACCTTCCGCCCTACTCTTTCCCCAAAATTATTTCCACCATCTCTCATTCTCCTCTCCATCCCCAGCTTACAGACCTTGAATTCAAGGTGCTCTGCTTTCTTTATTTGATTGTATTATTCAAGCAATTGACAAACACTTGCTAAGTATCTGTTCTGTGCCAGGCATATGCCAGGTGCTAAGACGAACTTGACACTGTCCTCACATCTCCTATTTGGAAAAGGTGGAATGTTCCCACACTTTCATCCAGTTACCCTTGTTTTAGTGTTTTATGTTTCACCTAAAACAGCCTCCAACCTCCTGGCTCTCAGGATTTTTACACTATATGGAACTTTGGGAGCAAAATCACTTCTTATCTCCACTTTTGCTCTCTGTTCCAGGCACATTCAGACTTTGTAGGCACACACTGCTGAGCATGCTCTCAGCTGTGGAGGAATAGCTCACTAGAGTCACGTGACCCAGGGCTGGCTGGCAGTATGTCTCAAGGAGATAACCCCATAGAGTTAAGTCATAAAGATCCTAGGATTATCTTGTGACGCCTCTTAAACCCGTGCTCTGCTTACTCACTGGGCTCACACCACTGTCTTGTGATTATTTTAAAGGGTAATTGTCCCAGCCCTACTAAAAACAGAAGTGAAGGATTACTTGGTCCTGTCCAGGAGTCATTGCTTTCATCTCTGCTTTCTCTCCCGCAAAACCAAAACAACTGCAGCATTCTTAGTGAACTGTCTGATGTTTGCAAATATTATTGACAAGAAAATGGTTATTCGGGCTTGTATTTCCTGAAGTTCTTAAATCAGGGGCAAACATTGATAAAAGTAACAAAATACTCTAGTATTTAAATATACTTTTTAATCTTTCTCCAAATGGTTTTTACTTTATTTCTACTATGTACTTTATAATTTTTCCTTAACCAACATGGAGCTATCTAACATATTTCAAAGCTATTACATTTTGGTGGGCTATTTTGTTTTCTTGGTTGTTTTATTTTAATAGAAGACACTGTGACTCGGATACGTGTTATCTGTGATGCTTGTTAGTGATGGAGTTGACTCACTTGGCAATAATCTAATGTGCTCTCTCCAGGGGAAGAGTCGTTTGAGGACCTGACTGAAGAAAGCAAAAAACTGGCCTGGAATAACATAGCCAAACTGCAGTTGCACGAGCAACATAAACTCCACAAAGAGTAAGAATGTCTGTGTTGTCCTCGCAGAAGTTGGCGTCTTGGCCTGGGGTGAAATTGTTTTAAACCAGGTCGGTGTAGCTCCGTGGTTGAGCGTCGACCTATGAACCAGGAGGTCACAGTTCAATTCCTGGCCAGGGCACATGCCTGGGTTGCAGGCTCAATCCCCAGTAGGAGGTGTGCAGAAGGCAGCTTATTGATGATTCTCTCTTATCATTGATGTTTCTATCTCTCTCTCCCTCTCTCTTCCTCTCTGAAATCAATAAAAAATATATATATTTTAAAAAAATCGTTTTAAGCTGAATCAAGGTGGAAGTTCTCTTTCAATGTCATCTTGATTGTTTTTTTTTTTATCTCCTTCAAGTATTTATAGTGATCAGCCACCTGATGTCAATGTGGCAAGGGAACTTTTGGAACAAAATGGATTTGTGTCGGCCTCCCATGTTCTCATTTCTATAGTTGGTCCACCTAGAATTTTAAAAATAATACCTGTACTTCCAAGACATTGGGCTTCCTGCTGGACCTGGAGGGGTTACAAGTGTTCCCTGTCTTCCGCTATTAAGAATATTTTTATACTTTGGTAGAAAGACTTGAGAGGCACTGAAGTCACCTGATCCATCCTGTTACAGATGAAAAAAAAAACAACACAGACCCAGACCAGGCTCAGTGTCCTGCTCCTGCACCATGGACATCCTGTCTGGCATTTTGAAATCACATGGGGGAAACATGCCAGTTTACTTTAGATTAGTGGTTTAAAATCAGAGTGCAGCCTCCTGAAAAGAATACATAGTTCCTTATTCATT